AATATTTATTTTTATTGTTTAAAAAAGTTTTTGTTAAGATAAATAAGTTATTTAATAATTAATTATCTATATTAAATCTAAACTAGTCCTCAAATATTATGTATATATGGATATAGAAATATTTCTTAAAAGGTAAAAAATAAATTTAAAAACAATATAATAAACAATAAATAAAAATAATAAATCTTTGTTTTAATTCCAACTTTTATAAAGTACTATTTTGTATTCGATATCTCTGATGGAGAGCGCAGTGATTTTATCATTTCATTAAGATCTGGTCTGAACATTTTCTATCGTCGTATATCATCCGATAGCACTTATTGTTGGAGATCCCTTACTTGACTATTTTTGCTGGAAATTATGAATTTCACAAGCAATTTTATATATGTCTTATATAGGACTCATAAAAACCACTTCTATCTTTCCAATATTTTTTTCAGGCAGTTTGCACGCAGGAATAGAAAATTTGGTAGGCTTTCCTGAAAGCATTGCACACCGCGTGCTTTGCGCAATCCACCTTCAGGTGTTTATTGGCGATAATTAAATTATTCTTCTTTCTGCAACTTTTCTGTAGTTCGTCTCACTATAGAATTCGTCGTGGTTTTTGGTGAGTTTGGTGCTTTATCCTATATCCTGTAAGCAATCGTAGAAAACTTTCCGCTGCCCGTGGATCATCGTCGGTATTTACCTCTTTGACATCTTCGTAAATTTGTCCATTTTAGCCGAATGATCTGAACTCTTCTTCGATCTAGTCTTCAATTTGACGCCCATGCATCAACTTGCGTGCATATACTTCTAATGTTTTTATCAATTTGAAGCCAATGCCTTATTTTTGCGTCCGAAGAAATATTTAGCACAGAGGGCGCAGATGAACAAACTGAAATATGTTCCGGACTTGACTTATCAAAATCATATATCCAGAAAGACTTTCTAAAAGTCTACAAAGCGTCCTTCTCGATATTATAAACACTGTGGTCAAACGAATATCGACTGTGTGTATAAAAATTAGCGATAGAAGCAGCAGAGGCGATAGCAGAATTTTGCGTGAATCTGCAGCCCCTAATTAAAAACTGGAAAAATGGTGCATATTTCAGTCTACGAATTAGTAAATTATTTATTTACGGGTGTTATGGTAGAGTGAACATCATTAACAATAAAATGTTGCAATAAATAAAAAATTAATAATAAAATAAGGAAAAAGAAACTCAGTTTTATAGAAGTTTTCATATTTGAAATTATGATACTTTTCAATAATTTTTCACAGTAAATTTTTGGGTTTTCCCACTTGCTTCTTCACTGAATTAGATTCTTCTGTCTTCCACAAATGCCGGTCGTTCGTTATATTTGTAAGTGTCAATTTAAATAAAGCCTTGCCGTATCTACTTTTGCGCAAAAAAACAGAGATGCCTTCAAAACCTACCCAGTTTTCGTCAAGCAAAAAAGAAGAAGATGAGAAGTATTCTTTAAAACATGTTGAAAGCAATCGATGCTGACATCCCCCCAACTCGACGTATGGTTAATTCTAGTCAGAGTATAAATATATTAGAAAATGGTGACAGATCATTTTTTTAAAATTGCATAAACGGAAAACTTTTTTTCTTCAACTATTTTGCAAAATTTTTTTGAGTTTACTTATAAGCTTAGTTTATTTATTGGCTTAGTGCATTGAGCAAGCAAAAAAAAAGAAAAAAATAAATAGTAGAAACTTATGTATATATAAAATTGTAAAATGTAAAAATATCCGCCAAAAATTTAATTGTTTTACAATAATTTCTTTAAAATTAAAATATTGGAAATATTGATGCGAATAAGGAAATGTCAATTATTCTATGCTAATTTGCAGGTTTACTTACGTGGACGTCAAATTTCTGTTTTTGTTCTCTTTCACAGTATAAAAGTAGATATTTAACAGTATGAAACTGTTATAGCCGGCCGTGGAAAAAAACAATTTTAGAATAGTTATAACCTACCATAAATACCATCTTTACGATTAAAGACCACAGAAACAATTTTGGGACTGTAATCCAAAATACTGCAAATACGAGCTCAACCAGTATTTGTGGCGTCTGAAAATGACCAAAATTAAGTTCTGAAAAAATTATAACGTCAAGAATTCATTACGGCAATCAATATCGTGCCGATAGAAGTGAAGCTATACAGTTGCACACATTGATCCCAATACTTGCGGTTCATACTGAACTTGGTTAACTTCTGCATGTGTGTCTCCAACATCGGTTCTCTGCAACATAGAATTAATACCAACTTATATCAGCATTGGTTATTATCTGTTGAGAAATAATTGCACCTACGTAAAGTAATTCTTTTGTTGCAGTTACTACTTCGCGTTAATCCTGTAATCCGATTATTATTGCCGTTAGAGCTTGCTCCACCGAAGACCAATTCAATTGGGATGAAATGTTCGACCACATAACTTGTGCTGTGAGATCAGGTGTCCACTCCGCTGTAGGAATTGAAAGCTATTATGTCACACCTTTGGTCAACATATGAGCATACATATGTGGCATATTATGCTATAAATACACAGTAAATATTGCAGAAGATAGAACAGCTAATTTTTCAAGGGGCGATTTATTAGATACTCTCCGCAACAAATTTGTGAATTCATGTAAAACGTTATAACAGAAATGAAATTTTCAAGGTTTAAGATTAAAAGTAATAACTTAAAAAGAGGGTTAAGAAATTTTTGGAAAAAATTAGGAAAATTCTAATTTTGAAAAAGTCATCGCTTTGTGTTACTTTCCCACTTACAGTAAGAAAAAGTTTTGGTAAATTCTATTAGCATTAGTTAGTAAGAGTTGAAAGCCTATTTAATTATTTGCGACTTACGATGCCAAAGATGTGTACGTCTCACGTCTGCGATTTCACTAATTTCAAACTTTAGTTAATCCCTTTGTCAAAAAAAGCAAGTTTTGATAGAATATGAAGGTATACTTTTTGGCGTTTCAAGAATCACAATAAGTGAAGAATTGTACGAAGTTATATTAATGAAACTCGACTTTGGTATTTTTTTTTTTTAGATTGTTAGACCCTACTCAATTGACTTACGATTTTAACCTAGGGATTTATCAGGCGAAAATTTTAAAGGAGGAAGCTAATGAAGGTTTTTGTACTGATAGTGATTGTGAAAAGAAAAACTGGTTGCGATTTTACGAATTATCGGTTGTGAGTATGTCTATAGGTCGGATGTATGAATTATGGAGTTTTCCTGATGAAAGTGCAAGATAAGACGTGGAAAAAAAATTGTCCTTCTCGGTTAAACATTTAGTTAATTATAAGAGTAATGGAGGAAGATCCCTGTTTCCTACACAAGAAAAATTGTACAAAAAATATCAAAACGTTTAAATGAAATTATTAAGCAAAAAGTATATCTCTCCGAATATTAATTTTTATTAGTATGCTATTTTTCATCTTCTTATACATCCTTATGTGAAAAAAACACAATATTAATGACACAAATTTTTTTCAGCTCTTGAAGCTATTTAATGTTCTTGTCTATTGAAATAATGCTTTGTTTTTTTTTTTATATATTAATGTGTATTCCCCAGCAATACAAAATAACAAAATAAATTGCTGTTTGGCCAATGGACAATGTTTAACAAGCATTTTTATCGAGCGTAAAACCCAATATTAATGAAACTCACTGTGAGTATAAATAAATTGAACATGAAAACACAGAAAACTTATGTTAACGGAAAATTTACATTTATAATAATCAGTTTAATCTTTTACCAGAGCAAGTTTTCTTTATATGCACGAAACAAAAGAGAAGTAAACTCCATTCCCTTTTTTAAGCTGTGTTATGGAGTATATAATTAAATAAAAAACATAGGACAAAAAAACTCTAAATATTTTTATTAGACTTCAAATTTACTTTCGTATTTGTTTTCTGGAGAAAAATTTTATTACATCGCTCAATAATCAGAAATAAGTCTGAGAAAATAAGTCTGAGATTGTCTGTTTATCCTGTTTTTTTGGGCCAAGAACAAAACGTATTGAAAATGGTTCGGATCGACCTCTTATAAAATATATTGTGAACTGTTGCGTATATCAAAGGCCAATTACAGTCACATTAAACGCCTATATCTTTACGAGAGATATCGAATTATCTCAATTACTTAGAATGAAATCTTTATTTAATCTTACTTCGGACAACTTTCTTTGTCTAGCACTTTAAGGAACTCTTATACATTTTTTGCTTTCTGTTGAAAACTTCTGAAATTATTTAGGTATCAAGTAACAGAAAAACTACCTTACTTTGCAAATGAAGTTCGAAGTTCGCTTGTTTAATTCTCCTTTAATTTGCCAGAATTCGAACAAAGACCGCACTTTGCAATATGGTGTTCGGTTTGTGATTTTTCCATAAAGCGAATTAAAAGAATTTAGAAATAGGGAAATTATTTATTTTAACTTACCAATCCAATCTATTTATCTTCCTTTTTCTTCTGCAAATCAAAAAGAGACGATTTAGTCGCGTTTTTTGTGATTATATTAAAGTCGGATAAACATTTCAACATTCTAGAAGTTGTATAAAAGTAGCATTTCTAACTTGGCTTCACTGTCAAAAAAAATAAGTACAAATAATGTCGATAAAAAACAACTCTGAGTTTCTACAAAAACATTTTATATAATATTATAACATAGCTGTATATAACTGTTTGCTTTCATTACTTCATCTTGTCAGCAGAATAACCGAAGAAATCTTTTCAGAGCAAATTAAATTTTTATAAATGTAGAGCCGATAGCCTGTGCAGCTAGTCCTCAATGTCCTTTTTTTAGTCTAAGAATTTATTTCATTAGTCTAAAATTATAATAATAATAATAATAATAATAAAAAATGTACTCTTGCAGCTTATCGATAACAATTTCCCATCGGTAAAGGTAAACAGCTGTTTCGTGCAGCTGATACACATCTTTTATTTTAGTTATCAATTTCATTCTGTTTTAGCTCTTTTGTTTTGGTATAGACGATGCATTAAAAAAAGGAAGCGAAAAAATACAAAATTGTAAAAGATAAGTAAAAATTTAAAAATTTAATTTCTCATCGTTCAATGATAAATGGATAAGGATTCACAAAACTACTACGATGTTTTAAATGTTCGTAGAGATTGTAGTGGTAAGGAAATTCGTAGCGCTTTCTTAGAACTGTCAAAAAAAGTTGAGTACACAAATTCTAAGAATATGTAAAAAAGTAATTTCTATTCTCTCCATTATAATTCCTATATATATATTACGTAGTACCATCCCGATGTAAGCGTAAAATCGAATCCAAAAGATGCAGAAAAGTTCGTTAGAATTTATGAAGCTTACGAGACGCTAAGTAAGCCAAAGTTGCGAAAAGAATACGATAATCTCTTAATACAGGGCCTCCGTTCTAATGAACGCAGGATAGTAGAAAATACGCCAAATTCCGCAGTTCATGGGTTTGATAAATAGCCATAAACGACTGAATCTAGAATTAAATGAAATTATATTTCCCCCTTGTTTTTATGATCTAGATCTTGGGAAGTTAGACCAGACGTTGATGCTCATCCCGGTCCTTATTATGGTGTTAGAGGTTGGAGTCGGATTTCAAATTCAAAAATTGCTTTAGCTTTGTTTATTCTTGGCATAATAGGTGGCCTATCGGGATTTGCCTCTGTTAAGTAAGTCCTAATAAATGTATTTCACACTCAATTAAATACGGATTTGCGTTAAAATTAAAAGCTTGTTCCTATTGTATTTCAAGGCGTTCACATAATTACCAGAAAACGCGTATAGATGAAGTTTCTGCGAAGGCCAATGAACATCATGAAAAGATACGGTCCGATGCTCGCAAGTATGGAAAGGAGGAGCAAGTAGAGCGCGTAGCGAAGCGCATCTTCAAAAGAATAGATTCATAGCCTCATCTATTGCTTTATTTCTTCAGAAAAGAAAGGAACAGCGGCAAATTTTGTAAATATTAATATTTTGAAATTAATTAAAAAAAAAAAATAAATAAATAAATGCAACCAATCTTTTAAATACCAAATGGAATTATAAATTTGATACAATGTAAGAATCATGGATATGAAGAATAATAGACCACAATGACCGTAATAACACGAAATATTAAAGCTAACTATAGTGAAGTTGATGCTTGTAAATTTATGTACACATAGTTGACTTCTTAAAGGCTTAAAATTTTCTAGACTAGTTAAGTTAAGATTTACTGCTAATCTAAATTGTTATTTGTCAACTTGAAAATGAAATTTTAATTATAAAAAGTACAAATTGTTATATAATAACACATTTTATTAATATTTTAGAAAAGTTATTTCATAAAAGCCACAATTAAAAAATATAAAATATATGGTAATTATGCAAAAATTTTATTAAACACCTTCATTTGCTTTAAATGAAAAAAAAGAAAACAAAAATCGTAGAGGAAATCAGATTGCATTCACAGCGACTAATAAGCAAAAACATCTCGAATAAGACATACGCCAATAGATACAGATATAGTATATATATGTAGATATATATAGATATAGTATAGTTCTTAGCGTACCCGCAAACTAGTATAGATGCAATAATTTAAGTGAATGTGTACAACGCAAAAAGGGAAAAAGAAAAAAGTTCTCTTCTAATTTTTGCTAATTATATGCGTTAGGACGGAAGAATACAATTCAAAATTTTATTATTTTACACCGATGCGAACGGATTGAATAATTTTCACTTTAACGGGTTTGCCTTGCATGTACCTAATCGTTTAAAAACTTATAAATCAAGTATAAGCATAAATGAGTTGTTAATCGAGATCCTTTACCCATTCCAACAACATTTTGAAATCTGCAATTTAATCAGAAAGTACTAAGGACTGTAGTAAGGGTCGCAAATTACCAAAAAATTGTAGTAAAAATCTTAGTTGATTGGTGGAGAAACTTTTTTCCGCTTCAGTAGACTCTTCCGTTTAACAAGCAATTGAACAATTTGTTGGTCGAATTACAAGTTTCATAATCTTCTCCTATCCAGCCAATAAAGGTGAACTAGAAGAAGGGGGAATACCACATTGATGTGGCCATGAAAGTTTATCAGTAACACGAAACCATTGCCAACCAACAACGATGAGTCGCAATGTTATGCTGTCCGCTATCGCTGAGAAAGCCATGTAGTCCTGTTGAAGGATCTAAATCTGTTTCATCCCTGTACAATAGTTTTCCTGCCTGTACATAAACACAGCATAGCCCACATTACACCAAGGCCCAAAGGCATCGAAAGTTTTGGACACACTTTCATCAGTCATGAACATCTGAGATTTCCGCTGTACGTTTCAAAGAGTAGTTTGGCTACTGCCGCCCACGCATAGGAGCTATATTCTGATTATTGATATAGGCGTCGTAAATGGTATGGGTTTAATGAAGTATTTTTGCACTGCTTTAAAAAACCTAAGTTTTTGGCGAACACATTCTATCCCCGAAATAGAATCTTAAGAATGTTTGAATAAAAGAGACAACGGATGCGGAGAAGAACTCATCCACTTTATAAGATCCTCCACCACATTTTTTTAAAACGTTACATTTATTTAGCAAATCCAATTCAAGTATATACTTGTAATCCATGTATATTTTTCCAGTGATACATGAGCCGTTTTCTTTGAAAATGATGTAAGTCTAAATTTGACAGCAATAAATGCAATCTGCTTTGAGCATTTTATTTATTTTATAGATAACATATTTTTCCAAAAAAAAAAGAAATAGACTTACAACACTTTCAAAAAAAAACAGCTTAAATGATAAGTGTACTATAATTGTATCCAAAAAGGCATGTACAAAACGGCAAACACACGAGACAAGTATAAGTATTTATTAATGTAATAATAAATAATAATAAAAAATTGTTTATTAACTTAAGTACGACCAATAAATTAAACCAGTAAATTAAAAAAAAAACTTTAATATAAATTTTTTTTCTGAAAATTTTTACTTAACACTATATAATTGTTTATTATTCTTCGAATGTGTATGTATGTGTACTTGTGTCTGCATCTGTTTACATTTATCTTTTTTAATGTTTTTAATGGAATCACATTATTTTTATTAGTTATTTTTTTTTATTATTTTTTATTTTTTTTTACTTAATATTATATAATAAAATCACATACAATTTACAAAGTTTTAATTGATTATTATTAACAATATGCAATGCAACGAAAACAACCGTTTAACAGTTAATCGATCAAGCGAGCGATTCAATTGATCGATTGATAATTGAGAAGGAATAGAAACATCTTTTTTATGCTAATTGACTCATTAATTTAGGCTTTACCGTTACTATTGATCTTTAGATCAGCAATTTCCTTAACTAAAATACGGGCCGCAACATGAGGTTCGCTGGGTTTGAGGACAACTTCATCATTTACTTTATAATCGTCGTAGTTGAGACGGTAAACTTCATGGAATCCCAACTTCTCCAAGACTCGTGCCGAATAATGACTTGTACATAGGACATGCATTACGGGAATGTTATGACTCTGCATATATTGCAAAGTCTTTTCAGTCAACATGCCTGCAATACCCATTCCACGATAATTTGTATTAACTGATACAATTTTACCATCCAATATGACATCCGTATTCGGATATAAATCGAAAATATTAAAATTCTCTTCTATATAATCCATAAGGCCAAGAACCTTTTTAAATTTTGGATGTTCGCAGTCATCAGCAGCCTTTTCAGGAACAGCATCTACAGCCTGAAATAATTTATAAAATTAATATCAATTATGATATTTTAAGGGAAAATTGTTTAACGATTTGAAAAAAAAATAATGAAAAACGTACCGGACGATACATTAGAGCATTTAAAAATACTCCGATAATTTCATTATCTTTAGTAACAGCTTTATAGGAACAATTATCTTTTAAGCATTTTAAAGAGAATTCTTCCAATTCTTTGCATTCGCCAATATTAAGGAAAGTATTTATTGGTTCATCCTGTAAGAAAACAAAAATGTAAATTAATTTGAATTGAATTTATTTCCGCGTTAATTTAATTTAATTTAATTTAAAAGTTTTTTTTTTGCCATTTCTTCTCTGTAAATTATGGACATTTGTGCTGAATGAATCAATTATTTATGCAAATAGCGAGATATCATTATATTTATTGTCTTACAAACTAAGAAAATTACATTACATTATATTAAATGCCATAAATGAATCACAACAACAGTGGAAAGTGTGTTTACAAATAGCGAGCGAGTATTAAGGTTTTATGAAATAAATATAATCAATCTATCCATGTGTTCATAAACTCTACGTATGTATCTATACATGTTTCATGTTATTAAGTTCTACATACTGTTTGCAACATACGCTACAATTAACAGTACAATCTTGATAATAATGATTCAAACTTTATCGAAATTATGTCTTTAGCTGTCTGCCACAAATCGTGGTCCAATTCTAAGAATTTTTTAAGACGTTCATTGCTGCGCCAGCTCAAAAATTGCAACTTACATGTTGAACATAAAGAACAAGACGGACAGACGGTCAGGCAAGCTTAGAAACACTTTCTGAATCAGTCGCTATAGCAAAAGGTGACTCCATCTCAAGTCCGTTTGGGTGTTGCACACATCCGCAGAAATTAAGTATACTCTCGTGCCGCAAGGATTATAGGGTACAGAAATAAATAGCCATGCTACGATGGTATAAAGCATTGGGAAGTTAGCAAAAAAGTGGTTCGATCCGAATAATTTTTGACGTCGTTCGTTTTTCGATCAAAACATGTATGTGTAGTAAATTTGATTGAAATCGTTCCAGAATTTGCGACCTATAGGTTAAATACAAGAAAACAAACCAGACGGACGGACAGACAGGCTTATATGATATATATATTCTCTATAATAAAAGGTGAGTCTATCAGGACATTTTTAATAAACCCTTGCGGCAAATGTGGTGTAGGTTGTGGGAAGATCAGTTTATTTTATATAAAAATTAAAAAAAAAAGATTAAGTAAAATAGTAGCGATTAAAACAGAAGTAGACTTCTTAGAGCATTTTCAATCCAAGATTCGTTGCGTTAATCATAAAACGCTTGGCATATATGGCAATGTGGTGAACACAATTCAGCAACGAGGCAGAGAGTTGTCCGCACAAGCCGTGAAAGCTCGATTAAACGAAGTTCGAAGACTCATTGTGTAATTTAGAACTGATTTCCGACATTATCCAACTTACAAGACAATCTTGCAAGTGAGAGGGCCTATATCAAGACTGGAGTACCAGATAGGAAGATTGGGTATAGTTCAAACCTTAGCCTCTGGGCAATCTGAGTCCCATTATGCGCCTCTAATTAATATCGACTTCGTTGCAAGACAAGATATGTCAGTTACAAAAATTGCAAAAAAAATATGAGTTATGTCCATTTGAGATGTTCCTCTGTGTATGGCAGCGGGGCATCACCAACTTTTTCTAATATGGAGCAATCAGTCAATGGATGTTCCCTATTCAGGCAATACGATGACATTCGTAAAAGAATGAGGGCATCGAAAGCGAAAGGGAAGCGGCCGTAGCTATTATGCCATTGCCAACTGAGCACCCACTATAACCCATTGAACCATTTAAGCCAGTTTTGGTAATCGCGATTATGATTAGCGACCGATCACAACGCCGGAAATAGCTTTGAGCAGAAAGTACAATTTTTTCTTTTTTTTCCACAATAATTACTTCGTAATTGCTTTCTCTTGCTTGATTTAATAAAATGACACCTTTAAGAACAATGTATTTTTTATTATCATATTCTTGCAATTGATTGCAATTCCTTTCACCGACACGTCAAAATAGCTTATATATTATGCAAGCAAAAAATAAACAAACTCACAATCATGTAAGTAAATTTAATTAATGCATTACGGATTACAATGATCGTTTCCAATAAAATTAGAAAACTGCGTTTTTTAACATAAAATTCAGAATATGTTAACAGCAGATAGCAACTCACTTATCCATTCAAAATATGTAAAAAAAATAAGAAAAATGAATAAATATAAAATAAAAAATCTAAGAAAGTTACATTCCGTTATGTGCAACGAACTTTCCGCGCCCATCAGCTCGCTCGAAGCATGTCCGCAGGTAAGTAAAAAACAATTTTCAGTTTAATCTATGGATTTTAGGCAGACTTAGGGCGGAAGGCACGACTTTAAATTCCCAAGGCTAATCGGGAATACATATATATATGTATATATTACGCTTTTGTAGCCGAATAGGCAAAGCATCGCGTCTAATAACACAATGGTAGTGGGTTCAAGTTTCAAAAATGGTGGAATTTTCAATACGGGCAAGCATATGATCTAAGCTAAATTTATTTACAAAACATATAGACAATGCAAAAGTAAATTAATAAATAAATATAAGTAAATAAATAAATAAATATATATATGTATATGTTTAAATGTTTAAGGTGCGGTAGTACTTGTTACTTGTAGGCTTCGTTTGCAAAATATTTTTTTTTTTTTATTTGATTGTGAGAACATCAGATGACCGATTTGAACCATTTTAGAACCCAATATATCCCTTGTAAATGTTTGTGTCAAATTTTCAATCAATATCGGTTGGATAAAAGAAAAGTATTCTATTCATTGCGACCCTGGTTCGAGAAGGTATTTTCCTTTCTTTCAAGGTCCATTTATGAGCATTTTTTTCCTTTGCAATACAAGATGAACCCGGTTTCCCGAAGTCAATTGTTTTAGCGTTCTTTGGACATTGTTGAAATGAATTGACAATGTACTATATATATATAGTGTGGACAGACAGACGGATGGGGGGGACAGGAGAAACATACCTAAATCGAAGCATATAAATACTTTAAAGTATCTTGGTTTAAAACTTTTTAAATGTGTTACAAATGGGAGGACAATTTTAATATGCCATTCTCTTGCGATACTGAGTGTAAACATAGCAACATGCGATTGTCTTTAAATGTTTTGTACAACTTATGTAATGTCGTATAATTATAATATTGTTGAATAAATTAATTTTTTTTTTTTTTTTTTTTTTTTGTGTAGAAAAAAACTCATTTATATTTATAGGTTTTTTTATATTTTACAAGCAGATGGAATAACATATTGTTTCACCCCTAACTGCTCGTATCGTATAAAAAGCTATCGATTACCGGAAGATGAACAAAAAAAAACATTTTTTTCCATTAGAATTTTTGATCGTTTAAAACATACGTTGGCGAAGAAGATTACAAATCCGGAAGCGAAAAAAAATCAAAATTCCTTTATTCCCTGCAAAATCTGACAACAAGAATATATAAGCTATAGGATTGATTATGTAAAAGGCTACTGAATGATAGATTCGATTATTTTTGTTCTTTATGAACAGATCTACGAAATTTGTAAGCCTTGCTCCAGTTTTCTTACAAAGTGGATTTGATTCGATTCACAGGGGAAGATCAGATCGCCTGAACTAATCGCATTAATCGATTGATATCAATGATTGATAAGTAGATTAATTTCAGCCAACTTTATTGCTTACAAAACTAAGATAGTTCAAGGAACGCCCAGCCATTCGCATCCATATTCAAGTCATAATTTCACTCAAAAGTTGGATCGTAGCCTTTTAATACAGAAGGAATTGGCTTCGTAAACCTAGAACTTTTGTAAGCCGCAACCTGGACAGAATACCGCACGTTCGGTCACAAGAGTGGCCGAACAGGTAACAATCGGGAGTACCAAGTCTGCGTTTGTTGGTTCAAACCTCAGTATGGTATAATTTTACTTATTTTGATTGTAATTATACTAAATGGTCAGTCGGTAAATCCATAGCGTTTACCGATCGTGTACACAACCACTAGGATGCAGTCGCTTTCCAATCTCTTCCTTTCCGACCGTTATCGTATTGCACGAATAGCGGGTATCCCCAGATTGATTGGTAGTATTATTAAAAAAAAAAAAAAATTTTGAGACTGGCTTATCTACCCAATGTACTAGCAGTGGTATGGTGGACTATTTTTCCCGATTTCGGGCGTAATGCCTATTAAATCCATTTCTTTCATACTGAGTCAATCTCGGCTGACTGCGACTAGTTTCTCTTTAAAGGCCGGCTCTCAAGCAACCGATACAGTTAATTTATTTATAAGGATTCCTCCGAAGTTTAAAAGCTTTTCCCGACATAATTACACTATCAACTACACTTAATCCGCCTAAGTGGCCGAGTAGGCAAGAGTCTCGACTAGCAACTCAATGGTCGTGGGTTCAAACCTCAAGTGCGGTAGAGTTTTTAATAAAGCCGAAAGCCTTACATGCTAGTGCTTTAAGACTTTAGTCTTCGAATTTATTCTTTAAATTTATAATAATAATAATAATAATAATAATAATAATATAATAGTAATAGTAATAAACTTCACTGACCTATTATCAGCATAAAGGGAAATTATTCCTAATAAGCGATTACTATAAGAAAGTTTGCGGAATCTTTTGGTTTTCCTTTTTGTAGGCCCAAATATATTTAAGTTTTCGTATAGAAAAGGGGGTGAGATAAAATTGTGTAGGAATCTATACGAAATTACGTTCGGAATGAGCTAAAGAAATTCCACCTTTTCTTTCTGGAATTGTTTTTAACAATTTTTCAAAATTTGATATGTAAGCATAGTCAAGGCTGAGGGACCTGATAAGTTGATTGTATTTGAATTTATCTTCACACCTTTGAATTGCAAAACTTTCAAAAAAGTCTTTTCTCTCGAAGTATTTCATGTTTCACTTTTTTTTTTATGTTAGAAAATTTAAAGGTAAGTATTTGAAGCTGAACTACTCAACGTGAATTATGAATGTAAATATAGTTTTTACACATGAGGTTAGTAGATTAATGCTTTTTAGAATATATAATTAATTGAGTGCCAGTTGCGAAGGCATTGCATACATTAATAAATTTATGTTCGCATGCATGACGGTTGGTCTCACTAAGTATCGACAAAATTAATCATTAGTTGAATGAGACATATACGATCCACAATAGGTGTGCATGTGCGTGTTTTGCAAAAAATACTACAAAGTCATATCTTACTTCCTACGACTATATATATATATATATATATATATATATGTATGTATATGTATAATATATAGAATGTATATATCTATACAAATTTGAGCAGGCAATGGACAGTTTTGCCAACACCAATTACTAAATGACTTTAATATAAAGCAATAATCGCATACATATTTAACATTCATAAGCGTTTAGCGGACGCACACACAAGCTGTTCGCACATATTTTAATTAATGAACGAACGAACGAAAAAACACAACACACAGCAGATCGAACAGATGTTAAAGCCAATATAAAAATAAAAGAAAAACAGCAGCAATTATCAATGGTTACGCGGTTTTATGCAAATCAGTTTTAACCAAATTACTTTATTCATTGCGCTATTCATTAATGAAAACAATTTTTATTGAACTCATCATGCAAAAATCGGAGATATTATAGTTTCCTTGCTACGTTTGTAAAAACTTGACACAAAATATTGTTTTATGCCACGCATATATATATATATTTTATCAGCAAGAAATTTTAACCCGATTTTGCTAATTTTCATATCATCTTCCGGCGATTTGTAGAAGCTACCAAAATATAGATAAGTCATTTTTGTTCTCACTCATCATTCAATCATTGACTTTGAAGAGTCTTCAAGAGAAGATCCTCTCGGCAGTTAATATTGAAAATATCGGAGAATTCTTTCACGATTCATTTCTCATCCAATAGAAGTGGAGGTAAGAGTGCATAGTTTATTTGCAGTCACTTTCGTCATAAGGAATGTAGAGATCAATGCAGAAAGTAGAGGAGAGTCTCGTATAATTCCAAGTTCCATGGTAAATCCAAGAAAGTGTAGCTTATTACAAATAGAAACGGGGCTAAGAGCATTTTTAGTTGCTTCCTAAGCGGTCTCTAGAGAAAACAGAGAAGCATGGGCGGCAGGACTTGCAGAGAAAATCCAACTGCAATCTGCGAGCATTGCGCTGCCTAAAATATTATGTACACCTACACACCTAAATTTTACATGAATGTGTACGGCTTTGTCCTGATAGCTGCGATAAATGGTAGGAGTTGTCTCTGCCCATAGGTGATGATGAATAAAGCCTCATATCGTGTGCGTTGTAGATTTAAGCATTGCTAGTGCAGAAGACTGCACTGCACTGAACCCTTTGCAAGACTGCTGTAATGCTACGTTAGCATTACGCATATCACTTAACTTCACGAAAGACCACCAAAGCCAATTACTTTTCTGTCCAGACTGTATCAATCGGCGTGCCTCACACTGCTGCTCAAAATGTCTACCGATTTCAATCAGCTTACTGTTAATATAATGGAACTCTTTGTGATGGGTTGTAACAGCTGTTACCAGACACATCAAGCGAGCAGGATACTGTTATCCTGGCAAGGCTTTCCATTCGCTACTTTCACGAATGTCAATCACTCATACGACGGATTTACTGTGGCTGCTACACTAACTGCATATTAAGCTATTGCAGGACGAGCTTTCTCTTAACTTAGGCTTGCCTGTCAGGAACAGCGTAACGATGAGTTTGTGAGCCTATTGTGGATCGATTGCTACTCTATCTGAAACCCCTTAAAGGACGCTGCTCTCACCAATCTCTTTCTCTCTTTTCTCATTCTCAAATTTTTTAGAATCGACAAAGAGGATTTCAAAACTTCATCTAAGCAAATATTTATTATCGAAGGCAGTCACTCATGTTTATAAAATAGTCATCGAAAAGGTAAATTTTGTCGCAATTTTTTAAATTAACACGAAAAGTGCAATCTAGGCAACCGCGTTCATAACTTTACAGAAAATGCCCTCGTCGTCTCAATAACACTTAACAACTTTATATAACTGTCACACTGGAATGTCTATTAGAAAGTATGCACTAACTGTAATGACTAACTATTTCATACTTTAATCGTGCCTACGGTGAGTGTCCAAGTTTCGTTTTAAGCTGAATTTAATAATTTTTCCACGTGCTTTCCTATACAGTTGTTTTCCATTTCTCACAACTATCGCAACAATGTTGTTACTTATGATAAGATCAAAACATATAAGTCATTGCGTTTTTCTTGCTGCTGTAGTACCGCTTATCTAGATTGAAAAATAATACTACGGCTGCCACACAAAAATGCATGTAAGCGATTGTATGTGGCCCTAGTATAAAATGCAAATTTTTCTCTAGTAGTTCCTAATGTAGTATATAATTAAATTATTCATTGAATATATATATGTATATATATTATGTATATATATATAAATCAATATATATATATATATATATATATATATACATAAATCAAAAGCATTAGAAATTCATACCGAGAGATCGTCTATAACTTTCAGTGCCGTTTACTTTGTTTTTGCATTGAATTTCAGTGCACACCGTTTATACCTTGTGTGTTTTCAAGAGCGCACGTGTATTTACTTCCTTTTTTTTTGCAAACAGTGAAGCGTAAGGCAATACTTTTGAAATAACACCTGTTGCAGGTTATAAGCAAATTACACATAAATTGCGTTGATCGGTTAGAGTTTCCAAATTCGATGAAGCCCACATAAAAAGGCCATAAAAAAATCAAATTTTAAAAACGATAGGTTGGTTTTACCGGTATTTTTATATCTCACATCATTTGTGGTGTCGTGGTAGATTAAGTTTGCGCAACATCCAGACGAGCTTGAGATAGGCTCACCTCTTATTATATCGATTGATGTAAAATCAGATTCTGAATCGATCTTAGTTAATCTGTCCGTTTTGTGTTCAATCTACAGGCCGGCATTTTTTAGATATTTCAATGAAATTTGGTACCGATTAATTCCAAATTACTTTTTAATTGAATCAGAATCATTTTCTGAATCGATTTAAGCTTATCCGTCCGTTTGGTCACCTGCTTGCTTTTTTTTGTTTGAACACTCGTTCTTTGAATAATTGCAGGGCGGTTGAGTGTATTTAATGATGACCCGTGTTCCACTATTCAATTCGTTAAAGCAATGGTAAATGAAATGGAAATACATTCGAGTTACAATTTTATCGTTAATTAGGAACATACTACTCGATCGAAAACCGATCAAGACCGTTTTTGTACCCAGTATGCAAGTGGCTTTGACGGTCATTTGTTCTCGAGCGCGAAAGTTATAGATGAAAATTTTTCAAAATATTTATTTATTTTTATTTATTTTATTTATTTATTTTATTCCACTTATACTAGAAACTCAACTAAACAAGTAACAGTTGAGTTCAATAGGCTCTTAATGCAAAACTAATATTAATTAACAATAAAATTGAGTATAAGCATAATAAAACAAATAAGAAGAGAAAAAAAAAAGAAAAAGAAAAAAGAAAAAAAAAGCATGTACACTATCAGCATAGGAGCACACTTACAACCGGTACAGGACCAAATTGCAAATGAACCCCTAAGCCATCGCAAACATGCATAAGCCTGGCAACCGATAATAAATTAACAATAATTCACTTTCGAAACGTAACGACTTTTTAAGGATGAAAGCTAGTTTAAATACGACATAGGTAAATCGCGCGTATTAAGCAATGTTGCTTTAATATGATCGCGGTTTTGCGAGGTTGTATTATTTTTCTCTGCACCATGGGCGTGCAGGTGAACAGATTGCGCTTACACTTTAACTTTAAAATTTTAATCAATAAAGGAATGTTTGCCACATTTCAATATCATTTCATTATCTTTAGTTTTACGACTATGAAGATCTATAAAATTTGATAAATAAATTGAGAGGTTTTCGTAAATCTAATGTTAATGACAAATGTCGATCGGTGACAACGAATCAATTTATCCAATACATCCTGTTAACGTAAATCCCTTCCTTTGTTACTTTTCAAGTTTTACGCTTCTTATGTGGTGCAATAAATACGCTAAACGTAGTGCGGTAAAACAGCACTAAAAAACTTATTCAATTGAAAGTTGATCTGACCCACCCTTCTCGCTCATGTTATCAATAAAAGTAAAATCAATAATTCATTTTTATTGCACACATGAATGAATGAATGAAAAGAATTCTTTAATCAAATTTTTAACTTCAATGGTTTCTTTTATAGCTTACCTTAAAGAAATATGTTTTAAGCATTTCCAGTACACCATCAGTATCTTCTTCGGTAATTAATTCAATAGTGAAAGCGGCATCATTCGGTGTTTGGGTTATTAATGGTGCAATCTTTGATATATTTTCCATTTTATGGACAAAATTTGTGTTTGGATATAACTTCGAAAGCTGTAAGTATTAAAAAATGATTTTTGATTTATGTTATGTGATTTGTTTGCAAATGAAATCTAAAGTTTTTTTCATATACACTTCCTTATCCTTAACAATTACTTTCATTATTATTCTTATCTTAAAACAAAAAAAAAAAAAAAATAAAAACAAAGACTTTTAAAATTGCATTCCATTAATAATGGTCTGCATTAACAATTTAAATGTGTGTAAATAATTAATAATAACAATTTTTGGGTGCGGTACTTTTGTGACCTATAGATTTCAAATCTGGTTGATTGACATTCTCCAACTTGTTACATATTTATGTTACATATTTAATTAGAGCAATTTCTATGTTAATGTAAACCAAAAAAAAAAAAAAAAAAAAAAAAAAAAAAAAAAAACGTTTGCATTTATTTGCATAACAACTAGTCATAGTCTATGTAAATTAAAATAATTTAAAATAAATTTACTTTTAACTAGTAAAACTAAATACATTGTTATATAATATTTAAATACTCAGCGTTTAAGAAAATTGTATAAAATTTGTTAAACGTTCTGTTAGCATGTTAGAATGACACAAATTGACGTTTTTTTTTTGTAAATTTTTTTTTTTTTTTTTTGCACAATGTTTAACTCTTAAATAGAGTCATGCAAACTTTTCAATCGATCGTAAACGATGGACTGGTATAATTTACTTATTTGACTTGTTGATATGATCATAGAACAAGAACATATTTTTCCTATCAAAAATCAGTTTACAAGGAAATTAAACGAGTGATGTCTCTTCATCATTCATTCATTTCAAGCAAGCGCTCTTCCTTTTAGATTTTTCATTCCAACTACTGTCCGTGTGAGTGATCGAGTACGCAAGGCATGTCGACTAATTTAATTCAATGGTCGTGAGTTCAAATCTCAGGTGCGGTCAAGTTTTCAACAAAATCCATAGTCTTTTGTATTGCTAGTGTTTTCAGACTTCAGTCTTAGAATTTATTTCTCTAACTAAATTGTTTATAAAAATGATAATAATAATCAACTATCAATACATGTCCGTCATTGTAATGACATTTGGCCAGGAAAGATTAGAAGGTTTCTTGGACATGGATCGATACGCACTCAAGCGCTAGTCCCCGAATAGGCATGGGCAAAATGTTTCAAGATGATAATGATACACAAAGATGAGTTTCGAATAATCCAAGAGAAACAGTTGAACGACTTCTCCATCTACCACGAGTGTTAGCTAAGTATGGTTTTTGGTCTTGACGACATAACTGTAATTTTGAAAATACTGCTTGTTCAATTGTTGCTAAACGATCTTCATTGAGATTTGCCCTGCAGGTGATCGTATGGATGTGGAATACAATCATTTTCAAGAAGACCTCCCCCCCTCGTAAGGTGAAGGTTGTTTATATTAAATATTGCAAAAGATGAATTTCGATTGGTCGCATACGAAGACAATACCTGGCATGACTAAACCTAAGTTTAGATGTGAACTCGCTAATAAGCCAGCGAGCAATAATACTCCCTTCAAACTGGCGTCTGACTCCATCTCATCTAATCTTGCTCACGGTACACTATAAATACGCTATTGCTTTATCTTCGTTAACCTACGTCGATTAGCTCATCTAAATTCTATTTCGCTTTCCATTGTGTAAATAATGTTGTACTTTCTATTTTAAGAAATTATCCATAGTATAAAAACAACAAAAGAATTGGGAGACAAAAGCTTTGCATAGATAATGGTCCTAAAGGGAAGTTCATTTTGCAATAGTTGAGGAAAGTATATCTTTCCACTGAAGATTTGCATTTTTTTTATAGAAAATATGCTAACGGAATAAAAATGGGTTCTCCCACCATTTTTTCGTGCTAAGAAGTCTTTAAAGTCTTTTGCTTAATCAAAATAAAAGACTGACTAATGAAATGACATGAAAGGGAATCGACGCAATGCTGGTTTTAGCGGGTTAAAGTCACGCATATTGCCCTCTCGGGCGCTTCAACTACCGCAAACAAAAAACCAAAGCGAGGAACATAGAGACGGAGAGACATTGACGGATGCGTGAAGCAAAATTGAACAGATAGGTAGGTACACGACTTGATAAACTTATACGATGATACATGAAAAGGGACAAAGGAGTCCATGGGCAAATCGCATGGTACTAAGCCAGCGTTCGCGGGTTCAAATCTCAAGGGCCGCAAAGCTTATTCGCTTACAAGCGCGGCTAAAGCTTGTAATCAGCGCTTCAATCGTTGAAAGCGTACCACTTACCAACAGGGTTTGCGACCACTGCGCTGTGATTATCCCCTCCCTAGCTCTTTCTCTTTATTCATCCTTTTTTAACCGCCACTGTATTACTCAAACAGAGGACAGTGAATGATTGTTGATATAAAAAAAAACAAAACTATAAAGTAAAAGGGTGGGCAAAAGAGAGCAAAGATAGATACTCATATGCGGGTACGTATAGATGTATTATGGAAATTAACATTTATGGAACGTATTAAGAAGGTAGGAAGATTGAAGCTCTGGCTCTGTATCTACAAGGGGAGAACGCAGATAAAACCAATGGAAGGAACTAACAGCACCGGCCGCAAACGTTAAAATAATAAAATGAATGGGAATAGCGAACAATGGCGGGAAGACGATATAAAAATGAAGGTGAACGAAATGCGCCAGTTTTTCTCATGATACAATCAAGACCAGCAATCCCCAAGGGCGCATCTTGAAGGATGCCTTTTTATCTCAGTGTACTAGGGCCACTAGTTGGAAGGATGTTGCCACTACGTCCAAAAAAAAAAAAAGAAAGAGCTCTGGCAAGGCTTTGGTTCACATTTTTGAAAGTGTCGAACGGAATTTAAGACCGACATATTCTTTTCATTTTCGGTACATACCGGATATCGAGAATATCGATTAAAGCAAAGAATAGTTTCTTTCTAATTTTATTTATTATTTATTTATTTTTTTTTTTTTTTGTGTCTTTTATTTTAATGCACTTTTGTTTTCACCTCACGATAAACGTAAACAAAAAATTATAAAATTTGCAAATCATACGTAAATTGTTTGGATGAACGCATATATAAATAAATAAATGTTAATTTATAATTTTTCAAATTTCCAAAGCAAACACACTTACCCCATATCCGGCATCAATAACGCGTTTAATCGAATCATTTTTATTACCAAACGTGCAATTGGCTTTAAAGTAATCGGACATATTTTTTATATCCATTTTAATGGATTCAATTAATGCGATTTATATTTAAAGAAAAAATGTTAGCTCAAAAGTTTACAATATCAAAAGATCCGTGTCGGGAAAAGCAACAACAAATCTATCTGTCGCATAAATAAAGTTAACGAACGATCACTTATTCCTTCGCTATTGTTGAGTACAATTTTTTTAACTTTTTTTCTTATTTTTATTTTTTCTTCTTGTTAGTTTGTTTCATACAATGAAATTTTTTGTTTATTTATTTTAGAAATTCCGAAATATATATAAGCTTTTATAGTTAGTCAGTCAGTTAGTCAATCAGTCAGTATTTACACATTGAAAAGAAAATGTAATTAAAATAAAATAAATGAAATAATTTTGTGAAAGAACGAATGCACATACATATATACATATATGAAAATTTGAACTATATATATATATATATATAGTTCAAATTTTAATGAAAGAAATATTTTTGTATATATTTTTTCTATTGTGAATATATTTTATTTTCATTTATTTTTTTTTGCACAGGATATTTGAACACAATTTTATTACAACTTCTACGATAGAATGATTGCAAACGCTAGTCTGTCACGTTATATATACACCGTGAAATTTGTTTATATTCTTAGATTTTATTATTGTTGTGTGCTTGCTTGGATTTTTTATTTATTTTTTTATTTTATGTCTTGTTTAGTTTTTTGTTTTTTTTTTTTCTGTGTGTTTTTGGTTTTTTTTTTTTTTTTTTTTGCTTTGTATGTGTTTGGTTTCCGGCGCGGACTGGAGGAGTAAAGTATTTTTGCTGAGTCTCCAATTAAGCAACAAATTTGCAACTGCCAGACTAGAACATAAAATGCATTAAATACTAATGTAATGTAACTAACTAGTCACGACTGCTTTTCACTTTATGCTTGTTTGTGTGAAATGTGTTGGATGTGCGAAGTGGTGGGAGGGGGTCTCTGAAAGAGCTCGCGCGAGAGGTGAGTTCATAATCGGAAGAATGCTTTTTGTTTTTCGCTTTCGTTTTTCTTGCACACGCATATGTATGTGTGTGTGTGTGTGTATGTGTGTTTACGTATGCGTGTGTGTGTGTGTGTGTGTGTGTGCATATGGTGAGGTTATATGCTGCAAATAATCTCACGAGAGGTGCTTGCATATAAAGATTCTGCGCTATGGCATTGAATTAAAATAAAATATAGCGGCCGGCCCCCAATCTTGTGCTAAAAGCCAACAACAATAACAAACACTTTAAATTGTTTTAACTGTTCCTTGTAAAGAAACGGGCACTTGTAGATTTAAAATAGCAAAAAAAAAAAAAAAACAAAAACAAAAAGAGAGAAATAACAACAAGTTGTTATATAGCGATATGCACACACATCTATATATGTATGCATATATACATTATACATACAATGGCTTTGTTTGTACTTATTAAAGATTTGTAATGATTAACATTAAGTATGAAAACAAAAGATAAATAAAGTCCTCAAACACTCCCTCATTCGCTCACTTCAAGTGTTTGCAAAGTAAAAAAAAGAAAAAAAAAACAACTCAGCTACAGATAACTTTCATATAAAGCGTTTTCTATTATATTCTATGTGCAATGAATGCTTACAATATCAACCCCTACACTATGTATGAATCATTAGTACTGTTATGAAATTTTACAAAATTTAATGTTTTTTACTTTCTATGTTAAATAAACATAATAGAGAGAATTCAAGCATCTATTCAATAATCTATAGAAAGTTGAAATGCAGTCGTTACGTGACGTAAGTTATAATCATTGCTTCCCCTTACTCTAACTAAATGCCTTTCACCAAGCAATCCAGACTCTAGAGTAAATTTTCGTAACTAACATGGTACAAGGCGATGATGACAATCACCGGCGACAATTACTGATCAGAAAGTTGGGGGATTATTGATTATAGCGAACTTTTGTTACTATCTTAACTAAAGCCTTGACAAATTGTCCATAGATAAAAAATGTGATTTAGAACAAATTGAGTGATTTCTAAATCAAGGTCGCATCTCGTAATTAAGTACCAGATGTTGAAGCAAAAATAAAATAAATTCATTGTATTGTGCCCCTATTCACAAAAGAGCAATTTTTTTTTAACCCTGATGTGACCAAGAGGCGCCTTTGAGGCTAAAAGGAAATTTAAACTTAAATTTTTTGAATATTATTCTCCTTACTTTACGGCAAATGGAAATTTGAAGTTAGTCCGATTTCGAAATTAATCCCTTCCAGAAAACATGTATTATTATACCACGATATGACTCGAAGTCAGACAGTCAGAAAGTAATCTCATATTTTAGGCGGGAAAGAAGGACCCAACTGATGGCAAGATATCAAGCAAAGATGCATTGAGTTCTCGCTGTAGTGTCATATTTGAAAATTTCTTTACGAGCCTTGAACTGAAACAAAGTTCATGCAGAACTAGCATCAGCAGATAAATTTTTTCTTATCTTTTGAAGGTTTTTTCTGCACCCTATACTACTTGCAGTGTATAGCTATACAATGTTCATTCGTATGTATACAATAAACGGAAGGAGTTGAAATACGCCAATTTTTCATTATACCGATCGATTCAGAAAGCAATTCGGAATCGAATAAAGGTTGTCTGGCCATCTATCTGTCTTGGCTTTTTGTGTTCAATGCAAAATGAGGCCTACCGTTTACTGCACCGATCGATTGAGAACTAATTTCAGAACCTATCTAAGCTTCTCTGTCCATCTGTCCGTTTTGTTTTTTTTTTTTGCGTTCGACTATAAGGTGGGATTTTGCAAATATATGTATTGGCAAATAATATTAAGCAAAGTGAGGTAGAGTGTTTGATGGTGGACCGTGGCTCACTTTAGTTTTTTTGTACGATTTTTTGTGATTCGAAATTAAAAAGTATACGGCCTGTGTGCAATACTTTATCTTTATATGACGCTTTATTAAATAAATGAATTTAATCTATAAACAGCATTTTAATTATTCCCACGATTCTCATAAGTGCCTAAGGCTCACATGGCTGGATTCGGGTTAAAAGAAAACAAAAAAAAAATAATAATAAAAATTAAACTACGATGAACGAAAAGCTGCTGCTCGTAGTTGATGCACACATTAAGATAGGAAAGCTTACCTTATCAGAGAATTAAATTCCTGGTACTTTCCGATCGTATTTATTTGAAAATTATTTCTATTCCATAATGGTTATAGCTATTAACCATATTTTCTCAAACAATAGCTTTTACATCATATTTAATGATTCTGATAATTGCAGTAATGTCTTTACGTAACTTTAATAAATCATTAATTAATTTGTTATAAAGAAAATATAAGAATCAATTTAGTATCATCATATATCGCTAAGATTTTGTCTGTACAACAGTGTGATGAGATGTTCTTTCAACTACTAATTAACGCACCAAAATTAACGAGAAGAAGAATTGGGAAACCATCAGGTTAGCAATTTACGTTCACGAACATGCTCCTGTTGTTTTATCAATTCATCTATAGAAGGCAAAAAGTATTTTTTAGGCATTGTAAAGCGGCCCTTTCTTTTCATTTTTTCTCTGCCATGAATTATAAACCGACTTAAAATCGTAACGATTACATGATCTCGATGGACATGTTGACATGTTTTCATTTCACTAACTTACCAATATGGACAGACGGCATCTAATGTACGCTCAAAGACGAATTTTTTTTCTTTTTTATATCCAACACCGAAGGGCAACACCCAGAAGGAGGCTTGAGAGACTTCAGAAACATTAAATCCTGAAATGATTTAAGCATGTCAGTCTGTCCGCCAGTTGTAAACATTCTCGTGCTCGCAAAGATAAACCTATCGACTTTAAACTCGACAGAAACATTTGAACGTCTTGCACGCGAATTGCTTTTGAAAACTATGAAATTGGTTGAACGCCTACGGCACCACATCAATTATGAATGTTTCCTTTTTTCAAAAGGAATAAAAAATTTATTTTTGGCTTATCACTCATCAACTGTAGTAGAAAATTCTACAAAAATTTGAACGTGTGAAATGGGGAAAATTGTCCACGCCTACCCAATGCTATAGCATATCAAAATTTAAGGTTTTTTTCAATACCTTATTAAAGCGCTGAATCAAGCATCAAAAACCCCATAAACTGTATAAATTCTTGACCAGTTTCAATTACGGAATATACCTAAAGCATGTTCGTCTGTTCGTTTATCCATTTTTTTTCAATCTTTGATCAGATAATACGGTGATGGGTGTAAAAGATTCGGTCGCAATCGAATATAAATTTCTTACTTATTCCTTTTTATTTATTTTGTTTAATTTTCGTTTATTTACATTTCTCTGATAGATCGCATTTGTTTATAAATAATGTGCGAAAGAAATGAATTTCCAAAGTTGCGTCGTGACACGCTCAGTTTATGTGTAGAGATCCGTCTATGTAAATATATGCAAATTTCGCACAAGAAAAACAATCGCTGTGCAAGAGATGGATGATTTTATATTTTACGAATTCGTTGCGCTTAACCGCAAATATAAAAAAAAAAAAACCAAAATAATACTTTGTTAGCTGTTTGCGGTGTCTTTTCAAAATTATTACAATATCCATTAAAAAATTATTGGCGGCTAATAAAATAGTTTCCAAAAGTAATCTTGCGGAGAGATGAAAACGTAAACAATCGCTTTGAGTGCACTTCAAGTAAAGTAAGTGATTGCAATAAATAAAAAATTAACTGAAAATCCGATAGGCTGGTGTGCATTACAAAACTGTGTTGAACTTTGAATATCGCTTTGAATTATGTTTTAAAAGCTTTTAATAACCTCTTGAAATGGTTATTGTTAGAACAGTCTCTTGAGATAGCTATTCAACTAGTTTCGAAATTTAATCGGTGAGATGATGCATTTAGGATAATTAAAATTTATACAATCCTGGTAACAATAAACCAAACGTATGGACTACCTGCACAACTAATTTTTGCGACAAATTGCATTTCGATTCCCACCTTTTGCTACGAGATACTAACAAAATACATTCCGATAAAGAAACGGCCGGACATATAAACGCACGAGTGAATTCGTTGTGTCGCCTTCTTATACTCTACACCACTTGCTGTACAAAGGTTTATTAACATTGTGCGAATGTAAATAACATGCAAAAGGGCTTGAGATAGATCCTCCTTTTATTATGCCGATCGATTGAGAAACCCATTCTGACCGTCTATGCGTCTTGTTTTTTTTTCCTTTCTTCAACCTGCATACA